CGTCTTTCTCCCTCTGTTGGTGACACTTTGGCCTATTGATCTGCCTGAAGAAGAGATCATTAGTTGATCCACGCTGCCACAGCAATCAGACCCATGCATGGATTGCAGCAGGTAATCACCATAAGTACACACTGGTGGAAACCAAAGCCTTATGCTCAACAGGGGACACTGGTGCCATTTTTTTAAGAGTGTCCCAGGGATTCCCTAATCAATACAATTGATCAGGACATTTAGCTGATTGGGTTGATGACAGTGTCTCACTTCCTTGTCGAGACACTCCTTGGTTAGACTTGTCTATGAATGAGGACACCAAACACCGAGACTTACAGAGAAATGTGGAGTTAATCAGTGATTTCCCTGAACCCCGGAGCAGAGCATTCACCAACCTGTCACACTCTGTTTTTATCTCAGAGTGTGCTGTCATATATATAACTGTTCCTGTGACCACATATCGACAAAATGTGCTATTATAACCGTACGCCTGGAAAACTGATTTGGTGGCAATTTGCTGTAAAGATATCTCTATATAATGTACGGAGGCCAATAACATACCTAAGATAGCATTGCTCCCGGCAAAGATGATCTCCAGTACAGCATCAAACTAAACTAACCACTTCTCTGGCATATATTAGCATAACGAGGCTAAAAGTTTTTCCTCCTCCAGAGATCAAGCCAGTGTTGAAGGAAGAGATGCCCTCCTGTCCAACTCTGTTATTTAGCATTTAAATGCCATTTCAGGGAATTTTAAAAACCACCTCAACCTTTCCACATAAGCACCAACTGTATGTGATATAAATCCACACTAAAGGGGAATTCATACTGTATAAATGGATCAAATTGTAAATATAACATTGGAGTCCTATTTTCTGGTCAGTCAGAATTCTGTTGTTGAAGCTATGTTGGAATTACATGAGGTCACAGTGAAATATAGGTAAGGGAATGTCCCTGTGTCACACTGATGCCATTTTTCACACTGAGGCATGCTAATAGCACTCTGGACACCAAGTTAAGAGCGGTCACTCTGCCTCATCTCCTGCGTCGATGGCTGAGTGCACAGAGAGGATGAGTCTGCAGACTGAGAAATACTGAAGGTGAGAAGACAACAGGGTCAATCCATGGGAACACGGCCCCACTTTAACACCATTAGGGAAGACTACAGCATCTGGGGACAGCCGAGAGTTGTTCTCTCTATGTGAGTGTTTTCTCTTGTATTTACATCCTATTCTAAATCTTCTTGTAATGCATCCATCCATCCATCTTTACTACATATTGTTTGAGGGTTGCACGTGGAGGACTGGAACCAATCAAAACAATCAAAGAGGTTGCCATAAAATAAATTCAATATTTATATAGAATTTGTTGTAAATTCTCATGACTCATTTTGGATTTGGGTTAGGCTGTGTCAACAGGATTTTGCACCTTAACGTGCACTGCATGCGTTGCATCCTATGAACATCTACTTTCCTGTGTGACAACAGCATGAGTGTGCTTGGCTGGTTCCCACTTCCAGCCTCGCATCCCACACCTCCTTCACTCCTCTGCCAGACCCGGGTGTGCATTCTTAGTCAGGCACTTGGCCAATAAGGCACATCCACAGAAAGCGTCAGTCCGCGGGCCTCAATTTTCACCCCAGCGTGTCGACTCCGCACCCAGTGGCACTTTTCAATTAAACAGGACGGAAGGCGAAGCCGGGTGTGATACTAACGACCTTTGTGTCAAACCTCGGCTGTCACTGACACACTGTGTGCACGCAGGAGATTTCACTCATAGTTCCTTTTATTTACCTTTTCTCTTCTGTTTTTTTGCCTTAAAAGAGAAAATTCCTTTATTCTTCCCCCACAAAAAGGTCAAAAGAAGCGAGGGCCTGGAAGTAAAAAAGCTTCAGGAACTCGTTTCATTCGAGCAGAGTGTACTGTACTCTTCACCACCTTTGAGTTGAGGATCCAGCCTGTGGCCATGATGCTACACCTCATGGTGTGTGCATGTGCGAAGTTAAAGCTGACAATATCACAGCATTTCATGGCTTACTGAAGCAAATGGAGGATGGAATCAACTCAGACTATTGATTCGGGGAATGTTTGCGCCAACAATCACACAAACAACAAATAGTTCTGAATGACGGCCCGAAACACTACAGGGAAGATCAAGTGCCCTTACAGTCAATGTGACGGTACTTTACCAACATAATAACACCTGTCTCCTTTGTTTTTATGAGATTTTGCCATGGTTGTTGCTGTGGTAATTATTATAATTTCCCAAACAGGCGTGCAGATGTAAGGTGGGATCAGGTATTCATAGGACACAGCTGCTGTATTTTCACAAAAAAACAGAGAGTGTAGCAATAACAATCATAGCTTGGCAGAAATATGGAGTTTACAATTTCATTATATTGACTTGCTGCCACATGCAATGACTCAAAATCAAAGTCAGGCGTTAATTCTACAGCAGAGAAACCACTCCATTACATTTACCTCTGTGTCGTGGTCCATTTATAACAGCAAAGGTAGTGTAATGAAACACAGACTCAGAGGAGAGGGGCTGATTTGGTTAGAGTTCCTTTATTGTCTTTAAAGAGGTAAAACGCCTCAGAGATTTATAAGTAAACACTATTTGCTAGGAGGAAAATATACATCCCACATCAGTGGGAATTGTGTATAACCTGCTGGAGTGTGCATGTGTATGTGCACACAACTATGTGTGGGTACTGCGGCATGTGAGCCTCAGCATGTCCCAAACTCCACACGTCTGGCCTTCATGATTCAGTAATTTAGCTGGTCTAGATACTCTAGACATCAAGCTGTCAGTCAGGCCCTGCCGGCTGCGTGCTTCCTGACCTTGGAGAGCCGATCTCAGCATCTGTCCTCCAACCACAACTGTCACATCTCACACACCAGGCAATATGTCTGAGCCCATCTGAAATAATACATAGACGGAGATATAGAGGGGAAACAGCTACTGTCAGTCGAGCCTGCCGAAATACACCATCAACACTAGTGGAGGATAAGTGAATAGTATATAATCACTTGACTATTATTTATGTATTGTCCTGATTCAAACTAAATGGAGGAAATGAAGTACACAGACATTTTGGTTGGAAGTGGAAAGTTGGATGTAGAATAATGTGTCAGGGACAAGCACCGCTGCTTTCAAAGTGAATTTTGTGACATTTGATCAAGGTTAACTAAGTCTTAACTCAACATTGTCAGTGAACAAGGTCACTTTGTTACAAACAAAACAGACAGAGCCAGTACTTTCTTCTTCCAATTTGTCTTGAGATATATCTGATGTGCTTTAATGCGTTTTAGCAATAAAACAAAATACATTTCCATCTTCAGTAAATCAAGGATGTAAGAGAAGAAAAGGAGGACCAGATACACAGATACTGCAAAAAGACTAAATTGAACTGTGTCTGAGCAGCACGCCCCTGGATTTTACTTCAGAGGTGCTAAGTTCTACCTCAGTGCGGCACTGTTGTGTTGCTGTGATGAATACAAACCCATCTCTGGTTGCATCAGAAATTAAAATAAAAGAATTTGTGTTGGTTTATAAAGATGAAGACCTGTCACAAAATATCACGCGGGTTAATGAGGGCAGGACTCAGAGACAGCCTGAAGACATAGAGGAAAAGGAACTGACATTTTCTTGCTGCAAGACAATCCGAGTCAAAGATCTGAGGCTCCTCTGAGCTTCGGCTGTGATAACTTAGTGCTTTAGCACCCACACCACCCCCACCCCTAAAACTTTTCCACTTGGCTCATTTGACTCCCACTCCGCAGGATGAGATGAGCGCTGGGTGCCCTTGAAGTTTCAATGCCAAGAAACTTTTCCATCAGTGCGCCCACAGTTGCCGCTTATGATCACAGCAGCATTCTAAAAAGCCTGGCATTGGAAAAGCAAGTGAAATAAATAGGCCAAACTGAGAGGAAAACCCAACCAATTCGAGAACATTTGATTTGGGATTGAGGAGTAGGACATGATGAAAGGGCAAAAAAAGAGAAGGGGAGACAGAGGGAGAGAGTGTGTCAGGGGCAAGCCCTATTGATCTGGAGGCTTAATTAACCATCAGATGCCTCTGACACAGGCTCTGATCTTCTGTGATCAGTAGCAGAGTGGCACCACTCTGGGGGGAATGGTTGGGAGAGGATGGGAGAGAAACAGGAGAACGTATGGGAGAAGGGTGGAAAGGGACAAAGTGTGGAGCACTGACAGATTACAAATTTGCTCCGTCCGTGCGGAGGAGGGGGAAGTGGTAACAGGGTGGGAGGTGAAAGACGAGGAAGACTGACGACAAGGAGATCGTGACGAAACAATTGTGAAAGGCTGAGTTGGGAGAGAGGAAAATGGAGTGATAGGGTAAAAATCTCAAGAGGAAGATGAGAGACGGAGGGGAAAAGTGTGTGTGTGTGTGTTTGTCGGGATAAATGCGACTGCACTGCATCATCCTTAACAAAGACTACCCCCCCCACAACGATGCAATTACCTTCCGCGTCTTTCTGTATGCATATGTGAAAGGTCTGTCGATGTTGAGATGACAGCAACGACAGGCCGAGGATTGAATTGTCAATTCTAATACACCTGGAGAGCGGAGATCTTAGCCCGCTGATGTCAACTGGGTAGAATGGGAATTGACCCGAGTGAAGCCAGTGGGGAGAGGATTGAAGGTGGGGAGGATTGGGGATGACGTTAATCCCTGAGAGGTTTGGGTAGTGGAATAGCATAACCTGGGATGCAGAGGCTTTGAAGGCGATGCTGACACAGGGTTTAAGGGATAGAATGTAGCGGAGGCTCTTCACGAGGGATTGGGTGGATGTTATAAATAATCATCAAATCGTAAATTTCAGAGAGCAGATCTCATGAGGACAATATACCCGCTGAGCACGGGGTTAGCAGGTCAACTTCCCATCATGGTGAATGGCTGTAGTGACCAGCCAAATTGTTGAGTCATCTTATCTAGCAGTAGTTGAAAGAGACACAGAGGGAGAATGAAATCAATGACTCACCAATACGTCCCATCACATTAGAGCGTGGTGTCGACATGTTGTCCAAGTCCTCAATGGTTTCGTACAGTGAGTGGGAGATTCGGCGCTCGTGGTTGTCCAGTAGCGAGTTCATAGATTGCTCTAAAACTGGAGGGCTGCCAGGGGCTTCCTACAGAGACCAGGAAGGAGATTAAGAGTTAGGGCTCATTAATAGGTGCCAAACAATCTATCATCTATATCACCTCATAGGCCTAATTTAAAATGTTATAACAGTTTGTTTGAAATATATTCATGAATTTAACTTAAGGTTTGAGCCACTAATGGAAAAAATATTTTGAAGGATTTTAACCCATTTACACCAACTCCAACATATATGCATGTATATAACTTTAGGCCCTGATGTGACATTTGTGTGTTTCTCTTTTTAGAACAATGTCATCACTTTCAAGATGTGCAACATATCAAATACATTGCGATTTGCTTAAATACTCCCAGGAGAGGAAAATGCATCATGGGTAATGTAGCTTGGTTTCTAGCACTCTTAGCCTGCATAAGAGTTTTTAAAGTATGTTTGGCTGATAATCTAAGCGAACAATGCTTAGGTTTCAGAGTGGTTTACTAAACCTTAGATTATAACAACATAATTTATGAACATATTAATCCATGTGGAATAAACTAAGACTAATACGAGGCTCCAGTCGTGTTTTGATTATTCCTGGAACATATGTTGTATCGCTGTAATAATCATTGTCATTCAATGGCATCATCTAAACTGGAATGTATCTGCACAAAGACACAGTGTCTGCTACAGTATGACTTCTAATGTGATGCCATCGATACTCTGAAAACATGGAACAGGGACTTCAGCATCCGACTTGGCTTACATCCGTATTTTCCGGTTCAGCAGTGTGAAACGGCTCCTGCAGACGTCTGAGCAGGATAAAGCTCCATAGATTTCCCATAGGCCAATAGACAGCTGTCTCTAACAATGAGCCCAAGTAAATGGACCAGTGACATTTGCCATGTGGTCGATGTGCCACACTGCTGCTTATTGAGCTCACCATACACTCGGTGCACGTGTCAGTCTTGACAAGGGGACATGGTTTGCTGTCAGTCTTTGGGTTTGGGACCACTGGGTCCCAAGCACAGTGTCCAGGCTTCAGGAATCAATAGTCTGTCAAATGTGATATTTTTAGGGTAGAGACGATGGCGCTACCACAGAATGAGTCAAGGGATGGAAAGGAAAAAATATCTCAAATCCACGTGCGGAGGGTTAGAGAATAAAGCTTGGGCCTTGGCCTTATTTCCCATAATGCTTCACAGCAGCTTTTGGGCAGCTGGGGGATCCACTGGAGAAGAACTCCCTGTACAGGACCTATTACAGACAGCTCCCTCACAGCTAGATAGTCTTTTGTAGTTCAACTCTGTATCTCAAGCATAGTTTAAACTAGGAGGCCCTGGCTAATATTGATCTCACAATACTCCACTGGCTCCTGGCCAGGAGAAAGGGGGAGTAAACAGCAGGACGACAAGAGAACAGGAGGAAGACGAAGAGAGAGGAAACTCCCTGCAACCATGGTGGGGAGTGTTTGGTTAACGAATGTAAAGAATAACAAGAAAAAGAAGGATTGTGGGGGTGTAAGTGCTGAGGCCACAGTGCAGTGTGGGTACTGTCAAGTCGTCTTCTTGTGGGAGTAGTGCGTCCTGGGAGATGCAAACCAGGCTAGAAGGACTTACTGCCTGTTTAATATAAATGAGAGATTTAATGAGGTTGGGAGCGCAGGACTTTATCTGGACCATGTGCTGATAAGAGCAAGGAGTGAGAAGGGAAAGCAACTGCGTGTGTGAGTGAGAGTGTGCATGTGAGTGTGAGCGTGCATGTGAAACGGGGGGGCTGGGTCAATTACAATCACAGGCACAGCCACTGGCAGCCTTATAATAAAAAGCATGTCCCTGGATGATTCTGACTCAACACGGTTCAAATTGTTTAAATTAAGATTTATTTTACTCACTCCTCTCTCGTCTACTCAAGTCGCCGGACTTCAGATCTGTGCGGAGACTTGTCATGAGCTAACAAGAAGTAAGATGGAGGGTTTCAGATAAGAGGCAGGGAGATGTGTGGACACGGTGGAACAGAAGGCTGAGAAACCAAATGATATGAAAACTACGTACAGGGTGTGTCAAGTGGAGTAGATCTCTGAGAGACACTTGTGTCACCGTCTGCCTCTATCTCTGACAGCTGAACAGGCTTATTCTAAAAGTATTCATTGGATTCTATAGCAAATAGACTTTGGGACCACTTTACATACAGGCAAAATGGCAGCAATTTAATCTTTGTGTATCCAGTATTAATTAAGTCTGCTTCTATGCATGCTAATGCTTCAGCACACTGTGGATGTTTACTGACGTGTTAATGTTTACTGACTGGCCCAACACTGCATGACGAGCTGTGACATTTTTATGAAAAATGTGCACCCAATGCTGTCCCCCGTTAATCAGTCTTCAACACATTCCACTTTCTTTTCATAGGGTAAAATATTCTGATGCTCAAGAACATGATGGTAGCCTGCAACAGAAGCAGCGGGTTAATAAAAGGGTAAGCAGAAAACAGAGTGTTAGCCATTGCCACAATTAACCACAGCATTTCACGAGGTTATTCATACCACATGATGAGAAATTACATAAGGATGATGTCACTCCTACCATATGATCCTATAATTATTTTACAATATGTATAAGCTTCAGATCATGTCTATAGTCCCATAAGATGCAGAGATAACAGAAAGAATGCATTTTTGAAATATGTATGATGCAATTTTCTGACTTCATGACATCACTCATGAGTCACTATCATCTGACTCTCAATGTATAATTCAAATTATGCGATTAATTGTATAGACCTATGAACTACCAAGTCTAGAAGTTGATTATCTGGATCAAGTAATATTTCCACCGAACTTAATGAAGATATTTCCACGTATTTTATTTGAGTTATTTGGTCCAAATGCACAAACACGGGGTGCAAACAATACCCTGCTTGTGTTGTGTTGACGCACTAAGTAATAAATCAGAAAACCCATAAAAGAAAAAAATAAACTGCCTTGTGGTATCAAAGTGTTTAAACTGCTGCGGTTTCAATCCCTAAACAAAAGTAGCACAGAGTTAGATCAGGCATCTTATTTGTCCAAAAGTGATGTGTTCCTTTAAGTCTTCCAGTGTCAATGATGAGATTTGAGGCCTTTCTTAGCCCCACTTCTCATCACCTCATCATCTGCTTAATCTGTCTTAATCTAGTCATTTTCAGAGTGGATTATTCTGTTGACTGAGGGAGAGGGCAGAGCACCGTGACTCACACAGAGCCCAGTCAAGATCAGTTGCTGCTCAGTGGCTACAGACTCGTGAGGCATCACTGTGTGTGTCTTCAAGGTGATGCTTTTAAAGTATGTGTCAGTGTTGCATTAGAATGTGTGTGCGTGCATGTGTGTGTCTCTGTAAATGCACTTGTGGTAAGTGCAGACTTGTGCACAAATGTTTTAGTTTTTTTTCGCCAGTGCATCAGCATCTCTCTGACCTTGGAGAGTCAGTGAAGGAGAAGAAGCTGTATGTTGACAGGGTTGGTCTTAAGCTGTCAACTAAGGCTAATAATATATAGTCCATGGCCATTTCCTGGCCTTCTATCCTGGTCTCAGCCTGTTGCTCTGGCCCTAATCCAGTCAACCTTCACTATAATGCTGTAATTACAATCCATAAGCTGCTGCATCCTGCCACAGGCACAACTCACCTCTCTGCTGGCTAGACTCCCCACTTTTATTAGCCCCTCACATCCACCTAGAGCCTCGTCTAATGCGAGGGCTTCCCTCACAGGTGGACTCCCAGGGAGTTTAGGAGGACTTGGCAAAAAACTTTACCTTCAAACTAGTAGGATTTATATTTCAATGTTCCACCAGCTAACGAGTACAACAAACCATGTGGAAACAAGACTTAGAATCTACAGCAGGCTAAATACTCTTCCATCCTATTTTCATCTCTTCAGTAAGGATCTCTATTTCTGATTATGACCTGTTAAGAGTTGCAAATCATCCTATTGATCAGGGATTTAACAGACTTGTTACAAAGTAAAATCAAGAATAGATGAACAGAGGACAATTCAGAGAGCAGGTGTTTCTTGCATAAACAGAAGTAGCTAGAGGAGAAGCTTGAGCATAGGAAATGTGTCAGAGTGCAAGTGCACATTTTGAGAACAAGCAGAGCAAATCCAAACACAAGCAGGGTTATGTGAGTTTGAACGCAGTGTTTGCTGTCTAGTGCTCTTAAGGCACATCAGTATTGCAATAACATCATATGCCACATTGCATGAACTATGCAGGGAAGTGAAAGGGATATGTATATGTATGATTATTCACATAAAAGTTGATTTCGCTCAACAACACGTGTCTTCAGACACTAAAGCACATACTTCACCTCTGCAGTCCTCAACTGTACCGAAGCAGCCCACTCAACCACCAGATTCAATATATTATTCTCTCAATTGGTCCCATTGAGTTTCCCCTGCTACTCCTAAACGAGTTAGTCCTCAGAGAGTCGGCCGGGAATGAGGGCCCGGCAGCACTGGAATTGCATTTCTGTTGCTCTGCGATGTACTCTCCGCAATTTAGTCACTGCTTTATGACAAACTACATTTCCCAGACTGCACTGCTCCCCGCTCTGGCTCTATCCTCGTTTTCATGAATCACTCCTATTTACTATGACAACAGGGGAAGTGCAGCTTTTCGATGTCATGATGAGACTGGACTTCTGTCCGTATTACGCTGAAGGGGTGGGGTCACCACAGATTTCCATCCCTTTCTCGTGCCTCTGTTGTTGGGCCAGCAGCATCTCAATGCTTTAAGGTCTCTCCCAGCAGTGGTCAGCTCAATACTAATAAAACCATAATTTACTCGGCCGGGGCTCTGATTGATAGCTCTCTCAAGGCTCTATCGATCAGCCTTTCTCTTGCAAGTGAGTGTCTTTTGTTAGGGCCGGCCACTTCCTTCCCCCTTGTCTCTTTGCATAAACATTCTCTTAGTGACTAACGGCAGCGGTATTGGAATGAATCACAAACACGGGCCATTGGCATGCTGAGCAGACTATGTGTGTGCTCTTTTAGATACACAATAAGCTGTTATATCT